ATCCGCACCTCCCAACTTCTGGCCCACCAAGCAATTGAACTGAGCGCATATACTTGTGACACCCCCTCCCCAATTTATTTCATTTTGTGATTTTTAATTCTTTTATATTTTCTTCATTTTGTAAAATCCATATAAAATTGAAAAAAGCTTATTTTTAATTGCTTCTTTTTGTGCTGGTTTCATAATTCTGTTAAGAAAATTATCAAATAATAAAATTAGCATTTTATTTTGTTTTAGTATTTTTTGTGCATTTTTCTTTTAAATAGCTTTTTAATGAGTTTAGGTTAGCACATAATTTTTTTGATTTTAGTTCAATTAGCTCCCCTTAGATTTAGGGTCCATTCTTTTTAGGGTGATTAACTTAGGACTTTAGCTTCCTCATAGGATTTAATTCATAATTTTAGGATTAATTTTTTAGATTATTTGATTAGGTGAGATTAGAGTGATTAAAATTAGGGTTTTAAGTGAACATAGGTGAGATAGATCATTTCTTTTAGGAATTTTAGTTTGATTTTGGGGTATGGGACTATAGGGGTTATGGGTAGATAATAGATCCCTTAGAAAATATTAGGCTTCCCCTATTATTATTAGTATATTGCTTGTATTTGCTTGATTGTGTGGTGTGCCCTCTCTAGGGTTATTATTTGACTGTGTGGGGTATTGGGCTTGTTTGGGGCTTGGGGTTTGAGCTGGAGACTGTGTTGATGAAGCCCATTTGAAGATTAAAGAATGAAGACCAACTTCCAGAGTTGATGAGGAGTATCTCTTGCTGGCAGCTGTTGAAGGTTATAGGGTCTAGGAGTTAGGCAGAGCTCTAGAATAGAAAACTTGATTCACAAACATGGAAGGTCTTGATTGCCTTCATCCCTCTCTATAATGCAGAGTCTCTCTAAGACATTCACCCCCTTCCTTTGGAAGGCTTGGTGATAATGTCTAAGAGATAGAACTCTTGAGAGAAATATTCTATGTGTTGTTAGCAGTCTGTTTGCCACCTTTGGTGGTCAACTAATTGCTTAACACCCAGTTCACTCTTGTGATTGGTTCCTCAGCTGGGAGATTAGGACTTGAAGAAAAGCCATTGGGAGATTGAAGATAGAGACTTTGCTTGAAAGCTGTGAAGATGAATACTGATGCTTGCTTGAAGCACTGAAGATTGAAGATAGAGACCTTGCTTGAAGACAGATGCTGATGAAGATTGCTTTGCTGTTTAGTTTTGCTGTTGATAATTCTTGATGTATTGATTGAATTTCCCTGAATGTATTGTTTGTTGTTTAACTTGTTAGGTTGAAAGTGAATTCTGTTCACTTTTGCCTATTGCTTTCTAGGTTCGAGGTTGAGTGGGACTCCCTTGCCTCGCTTGTATTGTTGCATCCATGCATTTTACTGCTTTATTGTATATATGTTATCGTTTCTGTTTCCGTTTATCCCTTAGGATCTCTGTTTCTCTTTGCGCAAGAGAGAAGCATGATAGACATTAGGAGCTAACCCATGTATGATAACATTAGGGTAGATTTTATCCCCTTTTTCAACCCTAGGATTTGTAGAGTGTCATCTCTTCTTTCTTCAAAACAACAGAAAAACATTAATAAAGGTTATAACAGAAATCAATTCATTTCTTCCGTCAAAAGATTTGAACAAACATCAACCTTTTTGCAATAAGAAAACCCTTGTTTAAGGTGAGATTTTTCATAAAAGACACTTGAGCAGCTTGTGTCGTACGTGGCCCGAACTACGTTTGCTCTGATCTTTCATGCAGTGTGGAAGTACGTAGGCATAGGATGCAGTGTCCTAGCGAGCAACCTTCACCCACCTTCACCCGTAGTTAGGCGAACTACGTTGACTCTGATTTCTCGTTCCAGACGAGAATACGTAGGCATAAAGTGCGATGCTTTACCGAGTCATGTTTTCTTTTCTTTTCAGACCTCATCCTTTAGTTTAGATAGAAGTGTAATCCGTACAAACCAAGCAAGCGTGGATCCCATCGAGTACGATGGACGTGAGGGGTGCTAATACCTTCCCCTTGCGTAACCGACTCCCGAATCCAGGTTTTGGTTGCGATGACCATACCTTTTCCCGTCTTTGCGTTAGGTTTACTTCGAGCGTTTCCTTTCCCTCCTTTGGGATAAATAACGCACGATGGCGACTCTTCTATCAGCCGGCGCCGATTTTCGTAGTAGCGACACTCGGGAGCTTGAAACCAAGATTGGGACTTTTTAGAAGTTTTAAGACTTGTAATTTGAATTTGTAATACCAAAAATGTAACTTATATTCTTGTAATAAAACTTGAGAATGTGTAAAAATTCCATTTTTTGAATAAAAATACAAATTTCAATTCTTTTGCATCCACTGCGAAATTGATTTCTTCTGAAATTAAATCTGCCATAATCTTATTATGAATAAGCTTTAAACTTCACAAACCAATTTCGAAACTTTGACAACTTGTAATCATTTGCAATCAACCGACATCCAATATGAACTTGACGCAATCTTTCCAATCTACCTCATACTATAGCCAAAGAGAAAGACACACATCATGCCATCTTGACCCAATAAGAGAATAATAATCTTGCCTTAAACCTTAATTCTCTGAATTTGTGCTCTTGTCTTTAAATTGCAAACTATGAACCTCTGATTATCTTAAATTTTGAGTCTTTGCAATTGAGATGCAAATCCTTACATCGAGGATTAAAACAGTATTGATGACCAATCTGTGAACGTTTAAGATCCTTATCTCTATGTAGGTTCAACCTGACGAAATGGGCTTACGAGTCCGCTTTCAACTCACCTGCAAAACGCACAACTAAACAAACCGGTTAGTGGTTAGTAAAATATGGAATAAAACGAAATGCAAAATGATCAGTGATCTAAGGGTAAAATTTGGGGTATGACACCTTCATCCGGAAACCACATCCTTACACTGTCCATCATGCCTTGTAGAAAGACGACGACACAGAATCACTATTTCACTCGCTCGAACAAGACCATGATCATGGCCGATATTGAACAAGAGAACGCTGCCTACAAGGAGACTTTGCCTCAGTTTCAAGGTCGGATGGATCAGTTTCAGACTAACATGGACATTATTATGGACTTCCTTCGTGCTCAAAAGGACGTTGTTGTTGTTGCAACTGTTATTGATGCTACTGTCCTCACTCTTGTGGTGACCCCTACTCCTATCATTGTTTATTCTCCAGCTATTATCGAAGCGCCAGTTGAGACTTTTGTTCATCCTTCTGTAAATTTACCTTCTGTTCAGCTTGGTTTGAATAGAATGCCTATTGCTTTCCCATGAGGAATGCCTCCAAATTTCACTCCTCAAATTTCCAGTGGTAGTGCTTTTGTTCTGTATCAACGTTTTGTTGCACCCATGCCCAAGGGTAATTCTGCTGCTTATCCTTGGGGCATGCTTACTCTGATTCCACCTCCTGTAGTGAATCATGATGATCACGAGATTCCTAATACGCAAGTTTGCCAGACTCATGCGTCTACTGATGTTGAGATTCCTGACGAAGATGAGCATGTGTATATGGGCCCTCCTATTTATGTTCCGGTTTTGTCCCAGCCTGCTCAAACTATGGTTCAAAATATTCATTATATGCCCTACCCTAGGGCATTATATGCTCTATCGGTTATCCGTATGGTTTTCAGATAGGTCAGAATGCTGGTCAGATGGTAAATTTTGGGTTGGTGTATCCGTCTCATTTTACTTCTCCACAGATACCTGCTCCAGCCGCATCAAACTTCCAAATCCTCAGGCTCTTTTCAGACCCGTTGACCATAACAGACATGATGACTATAAATTGTTGGATGAGAGAATCTGGGCTATCAAAGGTTATTCTGTTTTTGGCATGGAAGCCAAAGACTTGTATTTGGTTCCTAATGTTGTGCTTCCGCAAATATTCAAGATTCCCGAGCTGCAAAAGTACAAGGGTTTGAGTTGTCCTCATAGTCATGTGACCATGTAATGTAGGAAGATGGCGTCCTATATTGACAATGTTGAACTGTTGGTGCATTGTTTTCAAGATAGCTTATCTTAGAATTCTCATAATCAGCATCAACCACGACGTCAATAGTCTCAGCAAAACAACAAAAATTAGCATCAGAACAAACAGAATATAGTCCCAACATTTCTCTCACATGTTTTATTCCTTATGAAGTGAGACACCCATATCATAAAATGAGTGTGAAGTCTATAACTTGAAATTTCTCAATCCCAACCCATACTGAGATCTCATGCCAAACCTTTTTAGAGACTGGGCAAAAAAGAGCAATACGGAGAAAGGGTTCATTCTCTTCAAGACAGAAAGAGTAGAAGTCCTGATTTTTCAAAACGATACCGCAATTGTAATTAAAATCAATAGCAGGAGGAGTTTTTTTCAACAAAAGAAAAAAGAAGATCTTTCCACCAAACCCAAAAAAAAAATTGAAACGAAAACGGTTTGACAAAGTAGATTTTAATTAAAACAATACATGTTATTTTTATACTGTAAACATGTTTGGTTAATCTAAAATAAAGATTATTATGTAATCCACCATGTAAAAGCGTAAGTATCAGACAATTTCAACTAATATTATATTATATTAAAGTTTAAAAGCTTAAAAATTTAAAATTATAGCAGTTATCAATCTTTTTATAAAGTTAAAAATTTTCATATTATTGTGAGTTATATTTAAAGTTTCTGAAAACTCAATTGTTAACAATTTTTGGGAGTATAAATATCATCAAAAATTAATGTGGAATTTCATCTCATAATTTCAATATTTAATATAATACATTGGTATTAACATATTTTTATTTATTGAATTTAACACAAGTTATTTTAATCTTTTGAATTGTGATTTCAGACAAAAATCTAAGATGTGTGGAATTGAAGGAGAATCTATATATGAAGATAAATAGATCTTAGTGATACACTTTGCCAGAGACCAAAATCTTACAACAATCACTAATAGAACATCCTTAAATCTTCGCAATACATTATTATATATACATCTTTTTCTCAATCTTCTTTCCATATTCGACCCGTGATTCTCAATTTCAACTCCTGTTTATTGCCGCCAGAAAAATAAAGGGCTTGATTTCTCTGAATTATAAGTCCATCTTGACTATCTCTAACTTTACTATGACTGTCGCGAATGCTCCGCGGAATTCCTTGCCATATAAGTTTCCGCCCGTTTGCACCGACTTCTAAACTGTAGCTGAATTTCTTCCCCTCGTGGTCATCTCCCATAAACCGTAGGAAGGCCATGAAAACCGGAGCTGTGCCAAGCTGGAAAGCCTCAAAGTGCAAGCAGAAATGCCTTCCATAGCAGTTAAAAACCTGAAAGCAAGAGAATTTGAAAATGCAACGCAGAAAATTAGAAAGGTAACCGGTATTCAGAAGACAAAAATGGTAATCTAGAAGGTGAATAACTTACGGTTAGCATCCATGTGGCATTTTCAACATCGTGTGGATTTGTTTTAACGTATCGGTGATTGAAAGTGAATCCATCGTGCATGTCAACCTTGTGTTCATCTTTGAGATGAGCAACGAGGGTTGGAATGTCACCCATCACAGAACACTCGGATCCAGCATATGGACAATTGTATGGACGAAATTCGCAACTTTGCTCATGTTTAAGCTTTGCATAGTAAGGAAAAATATCGTTACAACCTAGACTCTGATATCGGCAAGGAAGCTCCAAAGATTCTGCAACTTTCTCCAAAGCCAAACACCGGATGTTCCCAAGATCATGATGACATGTTGGGCAGAGATTATGGACTTCTATCTTACAACTAGAACATAATGTATGGCCATTTGGACACTGAAATATTAAAATTTAGCCGGAATTAGAACAACAGATATATATTTTTTCTTCCAAAACACGAATAGACCTTCGAAGAAAATCAAGAAGTTGCTAGCACTTCACCTGGTGAATTGGAGGATACATCAAATTCTTGCAAACAGGGCACCCGAGTAAGTCGTGCACGCCATTCTTCGAATTAGTTCCGTTCTTTCCGTTTAACCCAACGCTAGTAGATTTTGTAAGTGTCCCGTTAATCTTAGCCTCAGATTTAGCCTTCCCAGTCTCATAATTCGAAGACATCAGGTGAGACTCGAGAACTTCTTTGAAAATGATACCTCCAAGAGCCATTTCTGACCCGATCTAAAGGTTTCTTACCAATTTCTTTAGCTTCGAGTTTATTTTAATGGCGCACTGCAAATGCTAAATACAAAAAGGGTCAGCGCATAAGAACTTTAGAATGTAAAAGCTACTAGTGATATTCTTTAGTTTAAAATCGAACACACGCATGACATAATAACAATTACGATACACTGTTTCAGTCAGAATTATACCTTATCGAGTTTCCCTAAAATAATTTAACACGAGCAAGCTACATTCACAAACAACAGTCTCTGGCCAACACTTATCATATAGATGATAACTACTCTTGGCGGTGATCGCCAAGATTCATGGAGTCACAAGAAGAGAAATCGCGCCTGAAACATGACAACAACATCAATAAACATAGTTACATAAAAAAGTACAATCTGTAAACAAAATCTCTCAAAATCAAAATCTGAAATTGATTTTGAAAGTCCCGGCGCAAAGTGCTTCAGCTTCTAGAGTAACAACAACGCTATAGTAATCTGAAATGTTTTCGCCTTCAATTTCACAGATCAAAATTATAGAGAAAAAAACTCAAAAATTCAACCATGCAACAAAACTGAAGTTGGCTTTACAAGAACACTACCTTCTATTCTACCATAAATCAAACCAACCAAAAACTGGAACAAAGCAACAGAGACAACAATAAAACAAAATACAAAATCTCAAAAACTACAATTTAATAATTCATCACAAGCATGTATATATCCAAAGAACCCATAAATAGACTCGCAATTCACAAATCAATGAAAGAAAAGAAAAAGTCATCAAGTGAAGACAAATCTGAATCCAAAAACTTCCAAAAACCATACCAATCAAAGGAAAAAAACAAAAACCACAAAACAAAAACAATATGAAAAACAAAAATCTCAAATAAAAATATACATCCAATCGGGAATTCCAACCTTATTTCATCTCCACGCGTGTCAAAAAACAATTAAAAAAACATTATTCAAAAATAGAACTCAAAACAAAAAAAAATCGAAAAAAGAGCTCCTGAAGATGCGGAAATTACCACCAATATATCGAAATTGAAGAAGAAGAAAAACATTATGAATATATTGTTGAGTTGACCAAGACAAAATCATAGGATTTTTTTTCTGCTGTGTTTCTTTTTATCTTTAATTTGAATTTTGGAAAATAAAGTAATTAATTTTGGATATTTTGTTTTCTTTTCTTATTTTCGACACCAAACGATACGTTGCCAAGACAACAAACAAGGTGGTCTTGTGACTCTTCCCTTTCTTTTTTCAAATTTTTTTGTTCTTTTTTAGTTTTTTAACTTTTCTCTTGTGTCTCTTCACATAAATTTTTGTTTGTTTGTTTTCCGTTGATGAAAGGGTAATTTTTGATAAGTTTAGTTTAACTTTTTTTTTTGGTTTAATGGAGTTTTATTATAATGTTATTTAATAAAAAAACTCGCTGGATTTTGATGTAGCTTTATGTTATAATTGATTTTAAGAATAAAAATTCTTAATAAAAATAATTTATGTTTCTTCTTATTTTTTTAACTTTTAAATAAATTTAATTTTTGCAATAGAAAAAAAATTATTTTTTGCAATTTTCAAACATAAATAAATGACAAAGTGAGATGCAAAAAAAATTATTATAATAATTAAAATTTCTATTTATATGTAAGGGACATTGGACATTGTAGTAATATTTTATTATATTAGATATTGTAAATATATTTATAGCGATCATTCATACAAATTAGCCTTACATTGGACAAGTGAAGTTCCAAATACTCATTTCTTACATTTTCTAATTTAAATAATAAAATTTTAATCAATTCATACAAATGACTTCATCATTCTCTTAATTGCTAAAACATTATATAAATTAGCCTTTGTACCCACTTTTAATATGATAATCAACTCATAATTTAATATGATAATCAACTCATAATTTGAGTTGATTTTTTCATTATTTTTGTTTTCCCACTTTTCTGGTTTTGGAATTTTCTCACCCTTTGGAAAGAAATTTGTTTCTTTTTGTATTATTTTGATTTGAGAGAGAAAAAATATTGAATTTTAGTAAATTAAAAATAGAATAGTTAATCGAAGAGGGGGATAAAGGTTTAAGAATTTTTATAACATATTTATTTATGTTTAATTTCTTATTTGATGATGATAAAAAAAAATTAACTTAATTAGAATAGAAGAGAGTGAAATTTGCTAGAAAGAAGAGAGAGAATATAAAGAAAACCTATGTAGTAATGTGTATTGAAATTATATATATTTATTTAATCAAAGGGCTAAAATTAGTAGTGCGGGTGAGGGATTTAATTAAACTCTCACCTTAAAAGTCACTAATAGAATATATAAGTTAACCTCATAATTAAATCATGATTTAATATTTTGTTAATGTTTCTAATAATGGAGAAATTATGAAACAATTATAAGAGATTTTAAGAGGACTAGAAATTCTAACAATAAAAGCTAACAAAAAAAACAACAAATGTATTACTTTAGTTGGATAAATCTCGTATGAAATCAAAGATATATCTTGAGTTATGGTACATTTCATATGAAATCAAGAAGAGACCGCCTGCACAATCCAGAGTTACAAAAGCATTCCGATAAGAATTGACTTGAAAGTAAGAATTGTAAACACGTATTTCCTCCATTCTCTTTTATAAGTAAATTTTAACTTCTTAGATTCATTCAATAATGGTGTATTTGGACTATATATAGGTTAGATGCATTAATTACTTAATGAATCTAAAATGTTAAAATTTACTTATAAATAGGAATGGAGGGAGTACACATTTAGTTTCTTTCTTTTATAAGCATGGTAAAAAGGTCAAAAGAAGCATATACCTTGTACTATGGTGGGTAAATCTTCTTTTAATCTCTTAATATAATTATCTATCTAATAATGTCTTGAGGTAATCCTTCAGGTTCTCCATTCATATCTACCACCGCGCGTTTGTAGCTTGTTGAATCTATCATTCTTAGTTATTTAGTTGACATGATTTGTTTTACCTGTAGGAGTGTTTACTATAAAATTTGGTAAACTTAAATAAGTTTTTATTAATATTTAAGGGATCAAACTCGAAAATCTCTCGGAACATATTTATGTGCATTTATAACTTTGAAAGTCATTGTACTGTCGAAATTGAAATGTACTTGAAATTATTTGATGTGACTTCTAACGAAACTTGAAATAAAATAAAAGGTTTTAAGCGTGAAAAGGCTTGAAATCGAAATGTAGATAAAACAAAGTAACAAGAATTGTAAAGGCAATTGAAAGGTAACTTAATGCATAAAAAGTACTTGAATGTAAAAATGCTTGAAGTGTGTAAATGGTGGAATGAATACGTACATTTTTCCTCACTTGTTTCTCAACACGCAGATATTTTGAGTTTACATAAATGTGTGTACAATTGTGGACCCTTTACATGACGGATATGAGCCCCCTTATACACTACTCTAAGATAACTAACTACCTAAGAACGGTCGACTAACCCTAATGTGACATGTTTCAATCCCATGCAGCGGTTTCCTCCGACGAGCTTCCACGTGCTTTTGAGTAACTGTCTATGTTAAACCAGTTCCCGCTCTTTTAACACCATTTAGATATCTTAAGTAATTTTACTGGCCACTAGAAGCTGGCTAACCACATTGAGGTCTTTGAAATCAATTGTGCTACGACATCATACTTTGTAGTACTTTCCACATGTAGTGTCCAAGTCGACATTGCTTCCACTGTAGTAATGAATATCAACCTTAACCAATATAGCATAGTACTCAATTTCACTAAGTCCCCAAACTTCTCACAATATCCTTCGACTCTGCCATCTTTGACCAGTATCACTTTGTGTGACTTCCGACCTTGAGTCAGCTTGATTTTCATGTGACTCCATTCTGTCTTGACTTTCCATGTGGCATATTTACTAATACTTGCCACTTATAGTAGTTGAAAAATCCAAGCTTACAAATTGTCCCCCCAAAGGCCATGTTTTAATTAAAAACAAACAAGAGAGAGACGTGGCCTTTTTTATCGTATTTTTCGACGTCATTTCACTTTTGTTTGCGTCATCATCATTACCCTTTTTACGGCACATTGTCATTTCCACAAGATTCACTCAGAAACCCATCATTACTCATACTTTCTAGGATGTCATGGGTTTGCACGTCTGTCATAACTGTTCCCACTCTCATAAAAGATGTGCTTCAAAAATCCATGAAAATGCTTCAATCGCCTTCACGCAGACTACAAGTGTCCAATTCAGTACATGCAGTATGAGCTTATAAATAACCTCTTTTCAGCTCCTTTGTTCTTCTTCCATATTTCATCTTTCTCATACTCTCTCTTTCGCGCAAAACAACAAACCCTTTTTTTCCCGTCATATTCAAAAACTCCATATTTAACTGAAATTCTAGCACACAAATACCAGATGTCGAGACAGATGTCACAACAATGGGATTAAAAGCAACTTGAACACACAAATAAAAAATTGAGGTTTAAAGACAGAAAAGTAAAATAACACCAGCAATTGTTAACCCAGTTCGGTGCAACTCACCTACATCTTAGGGCTACCAATCCATGAATGAAATTCACTATGATAGTATTAGTTCAAAGCTAAACTCCCCTGTTTACAACTTCTCGCCTAATCCCTACCTTGTGCAACTTCTACCTAGAAACCTTCTAGATGTGAGATCCCCTTTTCACTTCCTAATCAGTCACAATCCCAGTGACAATTCAACAATAACACAAAATAGAAGTAGCACACTTCCAAGACAATACTTGGTTTTGCTTAAAAGCTTAAACCAAGAACAATACACTCTTACTTAAAAGCTTTAGAATGGACAATGAACAATGAACAATGAACAATCAGTCAACCTCAATGCATCATAAGATACATGAGTGCCATATAATTATCAAGCACTAAACCCTAAAGACCAACCAAAACACGGCTAATCCTTATTCTCCAAATTCTTCACGTGTTGTTCCCTTTCCAATAGGGTTAGGTCTTCATT